GGAATAACGCTGAAAGTCATTACAGATGCAATCAAACTGCTAAATAGTCTAGACGTATAAAAATTGGCTAAACACAAACAGTATAAATAGAGATGGGGGGGACTACAGGTGAGATTTTTTGTAGTTTTGGTTGTTTGCGATGATTTTGCCCTTAATATCTTAGATGTTTTGTTTGTGTCAGATGCATTTCGGCTTCTCGCCACCTTCAGTGCTGGTTCTTTGCCTGCAAAACCTCCGAGAAACCGGTGCATGTCTGACACTACGAAACAGTGAATACAGATAAACCAAAATGCTCAGAAATGACTAAGCTGTATGAAAATATTGTGAGATTTCCTTGGGTCTGAAGGCGGCAATGTCAAACATAACCCAAATTTAATGCTAACTAAAAAGTTTTCAGCACATAAAAATGATTATAAACGACCCAGCTACATTACCATCCTTTGAGCTTAAAGAGACCCTAAAAGGAAATCTCATAATTATTTCTTCTTATTAAAAGATATCTTGTATATAGAATTCTTTTATAAAAATTCCTTTGCTTCAAACTCTTTATCCGATAAGCTATGATTGTTGGCCATCGTAGATAAACCAACTTAGCCATGGCCAACGTTTCCGCTAGATTATGGATATAAATTTATCAAGAGCCATTAGTCAAGAAGACCCTTCCTCGGCCGCTGCGAAAACGCGTGTCGCCTCCTCACAGTTGGGGTGAGATAAAGACATAATTTGTCCTATTGACGACCACCCTTTCAACGTATCCCAAAAGACCGTCCTCAGACGGTCTATCAAGCATTAGTTGGGCAACCGTTCGTTCCGATTAACAAAGTCCTGGCAGTTTTGTTCAGTAAGGGGTTGTCAGTTGGAAATACTTCATGTTCCGTTGGATTTTACCTGACGAAAAAACAAAAATTAACTTAAAAGTGTGATATATCCGCAAAAGCACAACACTTCCTGCATTTTTGTTGTGTAAGAGTTGCTTTTACGAATTTGTTAAAGTAATTTGTAAATGTCTTCAGACAACGTGTTCAGGATGACTTACGTTTGGGAGACAATGTAAAAATTAATATGTTTATATTACAAATAATACGATAAACTACTAGAGAATCATAAAAGAATTAAATTGTACGACTGTGCCAAAAAGTGCTGTGTACTAGAAACTTGTTTTCTAGATTTGATTGACTTAATTGTCTAATAAAGAACCAGTGAAACCTAAGTGTCATTTGTGCCTTTATAATCAAATTAAAATTAATCGTTGGTCAATATTTTTTAGACTAGTTTCAACAAATATATTTGAAAAGGTAATCCACTAATGTATGTATAGTGGCTGTATCTTTTTGTCATTTTACATGTACAATCTGAAAAACCAGGATACAGGTCAGGCCAACCGGGAGTGGTTAGTTACGATCAAAGAGGGGAACATAATGCATGCACAATTCAGAGTTCATCAGATTCAAAATTGCGATTTAAAATTTAAAAGTTCTCCAAAGGAATGAACAACTGGATTGGACCAATTAACATCAAAGGATTTTAACAACTCCCCTGAGGTTGTATGTTGCGAAAATCAGCAGCCGTTGTTTTAACATAATTTGGTACTCGAATTGCGTTCATGACGCTAGAAATAAATTAAGTTCAAAGACCATATTGCACACCTCAGAAACTGTGGTTGTGAACAATCGTTTCATCGAGTAAACCTGTAATGGGTTTCGAATTGACAGTGATTTATATCAGGCTCAGATCATGCACGAGGGTTTTTTTAAGTAATACTCATGCAACCTTTTATTCTTATATGAAACCCTTCGTTTTCTTATTTTCCTTGTATGTAGTGACAGCTTTTTAACTGTTTTTCTCTCGTCTTTGTTTAAAGTATTTTGTTTTTACAATCATATTTTTTCTACTAAACCCGCTTGTGTGTATGAAATCCTTATATGCCGCCTTATTAGTGTTTAGTAGATCTTACAAGGTAAGATACCGGAGTAAAATTAGGATTGATTTATGGGGTACCACCATCTGGCCGCCAACATGGAAATTTCGCGTCGGGTGTAAAATATGCTTTATTAATTTCCATGCTAGGCGTTTACAGTGCATAAAAAGAGTGGCGTACACATGAAAATATGTGTAATGTACTTTGAACCAATGCCTCTGACTGTTTGATATTTTTTACACAATCTAAAAAGTATAATCAATAAAAATGAAGAAAGGCTGAACCATTTGTAAACCAGACGATTAGAAACGAATCATTTTCAGGCACTCGCAAGTTAAGCAATAATTTTTTATTTATTAAACATTAAAGCGAGAAAATAAAAACTAATTCACCAGGTGATGGTAGCTCTGTATCCACTAATTAGTGGATTGCCCTACTTTAGTTATAGACTTTATCGTTTTTATCGTGAAATAATTTAAATACAAAATAAAAAAAAGCAAAAACCATAGATCGCATCACTAGAACTAACATTTGGTTCTGCCTATTCTCGCTGGGCTGGTCTGCCGAGACACAGTGAAGGTTGTGTCTGCGGCGAGGATAGACAGATCAAAACGAATGCTAACGACTATATTTCAGGTTCATCACACCGCAGGCAACATTAAGAAAAACGAAAACTACAATTAACCGCCCTAACTGACTGAATGACATGTAAATAAAAGAATGTATTTTAGAGTGAGTAAGAGAGTGAATGGACTTGAATTTAGGAACTAGATAGCGTTGGGAGCTAAAATTACCTATGTGTGGGTAGCCGCTGGAACCCAAGCTCGGCGGCTGAACGAATGAGATCGAGACTGACACCATAGTGCCAACACCCGGGGTGGATAATTCTCGAGACCCGCCGGTAACTTATTTAAATCACAAAACTAGAATTTCGGTGGATCCCGAGAAGATATAAACTCAACTCTAGATATGCTTGTATGTATGAACATGCGTGCTCAGATTTGTGCTTATATGTATATATAAGTGGGAAGTTTATGGGCCGACAAACAGCTGAGGTCATCGCCGGCCCTCTGCGTGTTTTCCTTCTTTTTCTTTTCTTTCGCGCATATTTTGTTTTAAACTGCAGCCATTTGAGCGTCTTGATCTGGTTACTGACTCTCTGATTTCAGATATATACTACGTTGATATTCTAGAATGCTATCTCTCGTTTGTACCTCAGGTTGTCAAATACAGAATAAAAACAAAACATACAATACATATATATGCATGTATGTGCTTATCTAAATCAACAATCGGTAAGAGTACAACTTATAGTTTAATTTTTACAATTCAACAATAACTTAATGACTGTCGTTTTGTTTTCATGCGTTTTTGGTTTACTGAAGACGGTTTTTTTCTTCTCGGTTGATATACTAATTGGGGTAATTCCTTAACCCGGATGCTCGTTCACGTACGCAAGCTTGAGCAAAACATTCAAAAAAAAAATTTCCTAGCTGCTTTTGATTGAAAACATCATAAATGTTTAAAGATATTAAACTAATTATGGGAGAAGCGTACGTTGCTTATGTATTTTGAATACATTGGCAATAGTCTGATTGAATCATTTCTTTGTCGTTTTAATCATTACGATTACATGTTTCTTTGGATTTGGATTTAATGAGTCCTTAAAATTCCATTAAAAATGTAGATTAGAAAGACTAGGCATTTTAAAAGAAGAATTTTCAGAAGAGATTTTGTTATCTCATCACATTTCAGGGTTTTTGTTCAGAAATTTTTAGAAGAATATTGTGAAGAATTCAGATATAAAAGCAAGTTCATTCGAAGCTCGATTTCCTTAGTAAACTAGAAAGATAGATCGAGGTGGGATTGAAATTGATTTTTCAGCAGTTCTTTGAAAATCTCAACAATGAAAACAAAAAAATTCAAGTCATTATGTAATAAGCGTTTGTTTTCTAAAAGACATTGTAGGTTTCATAATATGAAATTGTAACTCTTTTTTAATTTTCAAGTACATAATATTTTTATATTATATCTTTCACGAAAATTTAATTTACTTTTCAACTTATGCATTGTAAGTTGACCTTAAAGCACTTGCCATCGGGAAAGAGCCCATTATATTTAAATGAAGAAAATAATATCTAAATAAGAGCATATATTACAATGCAGAATACTAGAAGCCAGCAGGATTATGGCTAGGCAGCGGGCACGGACAGGTACCTCAAGGCTTGGAGTTTAAATTTATCTGTCATGTTTCATAATCTACGTTCTTTTATTTGTCTTTCAATTTAATTAAATTGTAAAGACAAATAAAAGATAGAAGGACTAGTTATGTTTTATTATTATATTAATCCATATATGTTTAGTGGCCATAATTGACTATATTAATTATTTCAATTAATTTTTTTTAATCTAAGGTCTTGGTTGAGATGAAAAAGCTAGTGTGGAATCGAACCTTCGACCTTCGGCTTAATTTTATTGTTCAAGTTTAGACATCATTAAAATTTCGACATAGCAAGAAGATTACCAGTTATTCTAGAAAAGTAAATTTTTTAACTTAATTTTCACAGAAATTAAAAATATAATCAGGGAAAACCTATTCAGAGATGTTCGTAAAGATAATTTCCTTTCCTTCGGCTTAATTTTATTATTCACGTTTAGACATCATTAAAATGTCGACATAACCAGAAGATTACCAGTTATTCTAAGTAAAGTAAATTGTTTAACTTAATTTTTGCACATCACCTATTCAGAGATGTTCGTGTATTTTTTATTCGTAAAAATATTTCCATTCACAAAACCAAGTCCGTTATAATCCGGGTTATTGATTTTGTTGAAGTAAAATAACGTAAAGTATGAAATGTTTAAACATACGAATATCGAAAAACATTTCTTTCCTTACAGAGGTAAATGTGTTGCAGGATTTGCCACATTCTTTCTATGTAATCTGTACCTTTGAAAATAGAAGTTTAGTTTTAACACTAAAAAACATTAAAATTTTTTTTGCCTTTTCTGGGTATCTGTAGATCTTATAAAAGATAACATTTTTTATACAAACAAAATCGACGCATTGTAAATGCTTGTATCAAACTGTGCCTATAGATAGTTGAAATGTGATGAGAAAATACCTAATAGACGATATACCTAATAGTCACGAGAACGTACGTGTTTTCTGTGCCCGTAAATTGAAAGAATAAATCATGTATGATCAAATATTATCCGACGATCAGTCCATTAGGATTTAATTACAAGTTTCTATGCTCAATTGAAGGCGGAAATAGGTAACTCTCGCCCTGAGATCGAGATCTTCATGCCCATGATTCATGTAATTTGTTTAATATTATTATTGTATGTGATCTATTTTTAATTATGTCAAGGTTTAATTTTGATTCTCAATGTAATGCATGCGACCATGAATTCAAAGAAAATTTCACGGATCACCAAGGCATGATATTGCGACCAGGAGCACCATCTATGAGAATCCCACGGAATCAAGGAACATTTATATTGGAGTAAGTTATAGTGTTTAATTTATTTTGTTTTATTTATTTTTCCTTCGTTATAAGTTAAATGTTTGTTAAAGTTTTGTCATTTTTTTCTTAGCCCTGGCGAATTGAGTTTGTAGTTTGTGTATCATTACGACTAATTTTCGTTCTTTTCTTCTTAAAAATAAGTATAGTAATAAGAAATAGTAAAATAGAAATAAATTATATGTAAGAAGTATGTAAGAACAGTTTAATAAAATGAGAAAATTATTACAGTAATGAAAAAATAAATAAAAACTTCTTTCCAGGATAGCAAAAGACAATAGGGGGAGATGCTAAAGTTGTATGTCTGCGGTCAGCGTCCAGTTTGATTGAGCCAATATTTATCAGATTTCAACTTTTTCTCCCCTTTTCTTTTCCTAGGGCCGGCAAATTCGTTGGGATCGGGGGGGGGGGGTCGTTTAGTATTCGGATGAGGGCGCAACGGACTTAACCCCCGTCGGATGCCCTCCGTTGTCCAAGTTTCAACCCAACTTCGCCCGGATTATCTCCGGGAATACTGTCAGCCCCACTTGCCAGACGCTTTGAGGCTTCGGCCAATTAGTTAAGTGGCTCAATCGCTTTCGCCGCTGACGGAATTTGCCTCTGAGTGGCAAGTTGCTTCTCGGGTAATTGAGGGACGTCTTGTGTGGAGTAGCGCAGGTAGTGATTCACTTCAATTTCATCCAGTAATAACTAGCTCAGATTGAGTTAAGAGTTTAAAATCAATCCAATATTCATCAGTCTTGATATAGATGTAAATAGGCCCATCCATAGGTATGCAAGGATAAGTAATTCGTAAATCCAAAAATGATTTTGATTTTTATAAATATGATTTTTATACTTGTATTTCTTGTATTTTGGCAGTTTCCGACCATTTTTAGTCCATCGATAATGGCTGTAAAATACGTATTTGCTTTTTGCTATCTTCAATTAAATTATATTGTTAATGCCTCAATTAACAAAATTAACACGGGTTTATTAGAGATAGCAAATATTATTTTATTCCTCTCTGTCTCTCTCACTCTCTGTCTCCCTCACTCTCTCTCTCTCTCACTCTCTCTCTCTCTCTCACTCTCTCTCTGTCTGTCTCTCTGTCTCTCCCTCTCACGCTCTCTCTCTCTCTCACACTCTCTCTCTCTCTCTCTCTCTATTTATCTATCTATCTCTTTCTCACTCACTCTCTTTTTTCATTAGCTCTCCTCCCCCTTTCTTTTTCCTTTTTAAAATAAATTTACAGTTATATTTTTGTCGTAAAAGTCAAAATATTTCAAGTTAGTTCCGTCAACGGATCCTTGTTACAATTTGATTTTTCACAGGTCGAGGTTGAAAAAGGAGCCGGGAAACGAGGTCGGACAGTTCGAAAATGGCTCGGTCGAAACCCGATGCCGAAAAGCTAGTGGAAACCCAAAACCCTTCAGCGTGAGTGACTATCAAGACTGACCCGCCCAGCCAGGAGAGGCAACGAACCGACACCTACTGCCACTTAGGGTTAATTACTGCTAATTCAATGATGACCATCTAAAAACCGAATCGTGTTATTCATTAAAATATATAAACTTGAACAATTCCTCAAACATAAACACAAAAACAATGGAAGAAAATAAGAGCAACTAACAAGTAGAAAAAGAAATCAATAAAACAAAGAAATTATACAATTTTATGAAGGAAACTAATGAATGAATGAATGAATGCTTTTATTGTTAATAATTATAAACATTTAATCATTATTTTACAACAAAACAAAAAACAATTTTCTCTCTTTTTTTTCCTTTAAAACATTAAATGCAATGGCCGTTGGCCGTCTGTGGTGTTGTTCAATCTTTATTTTATATCCGAAGATTATTTAGTTTAATTGCTTTTAATTCAACAATGTAGTTAATTTAACGATAATATGCAATTAACTTTTTTTGCCGTATCACTGGTTTTATATGAATAAAACAGCTAAATATTTTAATGTAGGAACACCAAATATTTTCAGGAGTCGAGATTCATGAAAACTTGTCCAAATCATAAAATGTTAGCTATAAAATAGACTATTTCAATATATTTCTACATANTATCAATATATATATTTTTTTTTTTTAATTGGACAATATCTCCTATAACAAACTACCTTGTTGACTTTACCGTCAGCTTTTAACGAGCACGGTATTCTAAAACAAATAACACATATTCCGGATCAAAGTATGGCCTTGAAGAAAAAAAATCAGTTGTTATTGCTCAGTTTTTCACCTATTTTAAGATTATCATCAGATCAAAACAATCTTGTATGTCTACAGGTTGAAACTTTAAGATTGTTTTGCCTTGATGATGACCGTAAAATAGGTCGAAAGCTTAGCAATAACAACTAAATTTCCTTATATAAATATATATTATATATATTTATTTATTACGAGGGTATTTCAACTACGAGATTATATGTCGCTGGATTCGAACACGGGACCTTTACATTACAGTGATGAGCGCGTGTAAACCCTAAATCCTTGCGGCCACCCACGCCCCAACAACTAATTGATACCAGGAGAAACAAAAAACAACTGTTGTACTAACTATTTTCGTTATAATTAAAATGCTCAATTCGAATTTAGAACTATTAATTCTCCAAATACAATAAAAGGAGAATGGAAAAAGCCGCTGGGATAGTAAATATAAAAATAACCCTGCTAAAGTGTGGGGGTTAAGAAAGACGTCGGTCCCTGGTCTACGGAGGACGGGTTGAAAAGGGAAAAGGCCATACTGGCAAGACTATGCATAGGACATACAAGAATAACTTACAGACCCTTCTGGCCGGAAAGCGACCGAGTAAGTGCTCGTTATGTAAGAATAAAATAACGGTCGAGGACATTTTCAATTGGAGAAAGCTTGACGTTTATAGTCAATATATTGATATATTTCGTCGGACCTGTGCATAGTCTTGGGGCACGGCTACGGGCATAGAACTCTGTTCTGGTACCTCAGGGCTAAATGGTTTTTTACATTTATATAGTATTTATTTTGTGTTTGTGTTCTATCCCTGGTGTGTTAATTTATTGGAATGAATGTAATTTATTATCAAGAAACGAAGATTTTTTTAACTCCACCTCGAGGACTCAATATTAGCGAGAATGGAGTGGATTCGACTCCACCCCGAGGAATATCGAACACTCTGAGGAAGTGATGTAACCAGACTGCTATGTTTGTATCGGGTGCTGTGTTCATATTAACTTATTGGAATTAATATATTTATTAGCGTGAAAGGAAGGAGTCTTTTTAACCGCGCGCCGAAGATTATCGGATACTCTGCGGTGTGAGGACTGGCAGTAAAAGAACTTATTAGCGAGAATGGAATAGGTTCAACTCTGCCCCGAGGAATATCGAGTACTCTGGGAGAGTGAATGTGACAAAACTTCTATGTCTGTATAAGGGTGATGTATATATACTTAGTGTATGTTTTGTGTCTATTCTGCAGTTGACATTATGAGGTACAAACTGGAAAAATAAAATAAAACGTTTGAGCAGTTTTGTTTTATTTCATCACACTATGCACACATACATCCTTATTTTACTCACTAATAATGGAATCAAATGTAAACTTTGTTGAGATAGCGTAGATAACTGAAAGAAGAATTATATTTAATTATATATTTCTATTTTATTTCCAACGGTTTAAGCCCAAATTGTCAATTTTTTATTTGTACTAAAAATTTGTTTTCGTTGATTTTAAAGGGTGCTTAATACAAACCCTAATTTCTTTCTTCAAAAAATGATTTTTTTGACCTAATTAACACTAATTTCTTTTCGTAGTAATAAGATAAACTAAATATTCAACATGAAGGTATGGTCTTGGCTTTGATAAATAGCCCTATCGTTTTCTTCATACAAGAAAAAGAAAGGAGCGTAAGATAAACGTTTTGTAATTTTTTGTTTCACAACAAATGACTCGTTTGGTCGGTCACAAGTACCTTTAAATCCTTTCAATTGTGTACAGAATATGCTTAGGGAGGGTAGTGAATTGTGCTCGCGTGGGGGAAACCGGATAGTGTGTATATAATAATTATATAAATCTCAATCCTGACTGGGGCCCAATGTCGTGGTACAATAAACACGTCAAGAGCCCATAACTGATGTAGATCCATGGAATGCGATGGCCCGGTGGAATCTCATATCACACCCCCGATGCGAACCTCCTCCGAGAATGCACTTTGGCTGGGGACAACAATATCTATACTCGATAGGGGCGGAAGACGAAATTCCGAACGCGGCACGCCCTTCAAGATTGTCTCGTCCGCCGGTTTTTCGGACGGTTTATGTTTCTTTCTGAGCCGGTCGGCGTTCCTCAGAAATGCCTGAAATATGGAGAATGCGGCTGACAACTATAACACATAGAATCTCAGACTGCAAAAAACGCATATAATACAATTTATTCATATAAAATTTGCAAACATTTACTAAAAAACTAGTATCGTCAACAGTCGGTTGTAGCATTCTTTCGTTTAGGCGTAATAAGTTCTAACAATTGGCATCGTAAGAGCGGACTAGAACCACTCAAAAGGGCTGAAAGTACGAACCACGTACGACAAACCAAAAGAGAAAATATAGGCATTCAAAATGATCATAAACAACCAAAAAATAAAGCAGTTGCTAGATGGAAGTATAAACGAAAACTGTAGAAATAATATTTATAAGGATAAGAAAATATCGTCTTCCTGGTTTCTTCAAACAAAATTCAACTTTAACTCCATGATTATTTGGAGATCGTGAAATTTTAGAAAAACATTTTCTTTATCGTGCCACCGTTTCGATCTTTATTGAGATTTATAAATATTTTACAATTAATTAAGGTTTTTAGTTGAGATGAAAAAAATTAATGGCACGAGCGGGATTCGAACCCACGTCTTCGGCTAGATACGCCGCTGCTCTACCACTTGAGCTATCGTGACCTCGATCCATCGGACATCAACTTCCTATCTCAACCCCACCTTATGAGTTTTCCCTCCTTTTTGCCATTTTTCAAATGTCGTGTAATCGGATTGGATTCTCGACGACAAATGAAATGGCCACGGAGAGCTTTAGTGAAGTGTACTTCATTTTAATTAATTAAATTCACTAATTTCGTGGTCCGCTTGACCAATTAATACATTACAATGAATTAAGGTTTTTAGTTGATATGAAAACTCAAGCAGCGGCGTATCTAGCCGAAGATCGTGGGTTCGAATCCCGCTCGTGCCATTAACTTTTTTTCATCTCAACTAAAACCCTTAATTAATTGTAATATATTAATTGGTCAAGCGGACCAAGAAATTAGTGAATTTATAAATATTGTTTAAATTTTATAAATATATTTAGGATATGAAAAAAATGAATTTATACAATGCTAGCAAATTTTATATTAAAACAATAATCATTTTTTTGTGAATTAAAATAAAATTGTATAAAAATTCTTTTTTATCACATCCTATATGTATTTGTACAATTTGAACAATGTTTATAAATCCCAGGCTCTGAAGATGATCTCAATAAAGATCGAAACGTAGCACGATAAAGAGAATGTTTTTCTAACGCCTACGTCACACCAGACCGCATCTCACGCCCTCCAAACAATCATTAAGTAAAGGTCACTAAACACTACACATTTCAATTCCCATTTTACATCAATTTAACACAAACATAAATAGTAAGCTAATTAAAATTTGAAAATGAAGTAAGCACTTATATCGGATATTTCGTCTTAATCAAATTCATCAGCTCGAGTTATTGCATTTTTCTCGTCCTAAAGGACCTCGGTACATTTGATGACATTCAGAGCAAATAGAAGGGATCTGCTTTGCTTATGAGACTTGTTTGAACAGTCCCTTGATCTCGCTAATTAATTGGCTTAATGACTTGGATCATGACAGAGCTTTGTTGTAGTAAGTCAACCGCTATTTGATTTTTAGCATCAAAAAACGACTGATTCGAGATTTATTCAGATGAAATCCTTAGTTACAAATACGACCTGTTACAATTAATAATTAATTATACCTAAAATATCACTTATAAGGCAAATTTTAAAAAATGCACTCAGTTCCTTTGTCAAGCTTTACGATAGACGATTGTCTTAATATAACATGGGAAATACATACCTGCACCACTACAGCAATTTACGCAGCACTCGATATTCCAACCTTACATATTTATGTTCACAAGATGGCTTTTGACAATGCCACAAAGTCTCCTGAGATAAAGGAAATAAAGTCATTTACTAACGAGGTGCCATCACAACATTCTGGAAAGAATTAAATGTGATAAGGGACCTGACAAAATGAGAGAAAAACTCAACTTGGACAGACCCTTCCAAGTGGTCATAGATAATAGAGACCTGTGGAAGAAAGGTAGCCCCATGTCTCAGGAGGGTGCCATAATATGGTACACAGATGGATCGAAGACGGAACAAGGGGTAAAATAGCCGATCTATACCACAGCTTGAAAGGACTAATTAATCCTATTGAACTAATTACAACAGTTTTCCAAGCTTATGTCATGCAATACAATTTTGTGCACAGAAGATTATAAAGAAAAATATGAAATGTGCACAGATGTACATAATCTCAGATAATCAGGCAACCATAAAGGAACTAAA